CGGAAGGTGCCACTCTAGGGGCCCCCAGAGCCGCCCTGATGCACATCGCCCGGGCGAAACAGTCTTCCGGCACGTGCACACACCTGCACTGGACACGAGCAGCCCCTGCCAAGCCAGCCCCACAGTCCCGGCACACGAGTGGCTCTGGGTGCGGTGTAGGTCCATGCTGCACTTTGGCTGCCTTTGCAAATGCGGGCGGGGCAGCCGGGTCTCTGCTCCCTGCTCCTGGGCCAGCCTGTCTTTGCTTACCCTGCGTCCTGTCCCCTTGTGGACCACGGGCACTCGCTCCTCCCCCGTGAGCGAGTGGACGTCCAGCTTGCTGGGGTCCTTGCAGCGCTGCCGCCTCTGCTTGGGCTTGTCTGCAAAACTCTAGAAGGCAAATCGGCGCATTAATGAGCCTGGGGGGACCGGCCATGCCCCGCTCTGCTCTGGGGACACGCGCAGCCCGGTCCTGACACAGCCAGGGCTAGCACAGCAGGTGCCTGGGTGGCCGTAGCGCCCAGGCCTGGCCTCAGCTGGGGCCTCTTGGCTTAGCCTTGGACTCCATGGCACTTGGACAGCTTGGTGTCCAGGGACCCGTTAACGAGGGGTGCAGCAGAGGACCCTGAGCCAGGCTGGCAAGAGACGTGCCCTGGGCAGTGCCCCGGCCCGCGGAGCCCAGACTCGACTGTTCTGCTAGTTCCGACATTCCCTCATGCTGCTCCAGCCGCAGCGCCGCAATCCCCTCCTGCTGCCCCAGCCGCAGCGCGGCACACCCCAGGCCCGCGAGCGCTGTGCCCTGCGCGAAGCCCACGCAGCCGGAAGGAAGAGGGAACCGCGCAGAGAGAAGCTGACACTGTCTCTCTGCAGCAGTCGGAACCAGGGGCTTCTGCCAGCGCCAGGTCACCGCAGCCCCGGGCCCCCGAATCCCACTGGGCGCAGTCTGGTGCTTCTGGCTGCCTGGAAGGCGGCTGGGCTCGGTGTCCCAGGAGCCACTGCTGCGGGCCCTGGAGAAGCTGGCCCTGTGGGCGCCCCAGGCTCCTCCGTTCTAAGCAGCTGGGCGTGTGAACGTGCCCATCCGTCCCGGAGCCACTCGCTGCTCCAGGCCACAAGACCAGGCTTCGTGGAGAGCGTCAGTTTCTCTCGGCTTCCTTTGCAGGGTTCAGGCTGGGGCAAAACGTGAGCAGCCACCAGCAGGCGGGGACAGGCGTGGGTATGAGCCGTGGAGAACAGGTCCGGCCTATTCTGAACCCCCCCTCGCCTAGCTCCGACACAGATGCCCAAGCGGGAACGCCTGGCCAGGGGAGCCTGGGGGCTTCACGTTTCTTCTTCGTTTCCTGTTGAAAGGCAGGAAACGTTTGCTCCCCTCACAGCAAGGCCAATTCCCAGCCTCCCCGGCCAGAGGGGACCATGGGATCACTGGTCTGCAGCGACCTGCCAGGCAACCATTCCCGTCTGGATTAAAAAAAACCCTGGATGGAGGAGCCGCACAAGCCTTGGCAAATGGGGGTCTCTGTGAACTCATCCAGCGGCAACTGCCAGCCCCTGGCGCTCTCTGCTGGCACCTCCTTGCAGCCTGCGCTCAGCTCGCTCCCCCCTTTGTGGCCCGTGGCGGGGGCACAGCCTCTCCTCCCTTCCTCATTCGTTGGGCTCTTTTCTGAACTTGTTGGCACCAGGGTCACCCCCCCGGGAGGGCAAAAGAACTTTTCCGGTTGCCTGGGGTCTGGCAGGGTCCAGGAGGGAGCGCGCCTGTCCTGGGAGCCGTCGGCTAATCTGGGCACAGTGCCCGGGGTCAGCGACACTCCATCCCTCAGGCCGTGCAGTGCGATTTGCCCTCAGGGGCTCTGTGGCTTAAGGCCTGTAAATTCCTCCTACTCCCATGCCCTGGAGGTGTCTCTGCGGCTCCCAGGGGTTGCCTGGGGTCTGGCAGGGTCCAGGAGGGAGCGCGCCTGTCCTGGGAGCCGTCGGCTAATCTGGGCACAGTGCCCGGGGTCAGCGACACTCCATCCCTCAGGCCGTGCAGTGCGATTTGCCCTCAGGGGCTCTGTGGCTTAAGGCCTGTAAATTCCTCCTACTCCCATGCCCTGGAGGTGTCTCTGCGGCTCCCAGGGCTCATGCCGGCTGCCTCGGGGGTGCTCGATCTGCCAGTGACCCAGACGAGATGGGCGCTGCGGGCACAATGTCGGGGCACCTCGATTGACACGTCTGCCCATTGCGCACCCAGCGAGCCCCGCGGAGGAGCGAGCAGACTGCAGCGTCCGTGCTGTCCGCCAGGAACCGCAGCCTTGGGGACAGAGGCAGAGCCGTGCTGAAGGGAGGCGGCCCCGGCAGGGCCGGTCCTGACGCACTGAAGCCTGGAGGGTCACTTACCGTGCTGAAGGCAGGGACGTCGAGCGTGTAGTCCGACTGCTGGCTCAGCCAGTCCAGGAGACTCTTGTTTGCGAGCAGACTGCAGCGTCCGTGCTGTCCGCCAGGAACCGCAGCCTTGGGGACAGAGGCAGAGCCGTGCTGAAGGGAGGCGGCCCCGGCAGGGCCGGTCCTGACGCACTGAAGCCTGGAGGGTCACTTACCGTGCTGAAGGCAGGGACGTCGAGCGTGTAGTCCGACTGCTGGCTCAGCCAGTCCAGGAGACTCTTGTTTGGAGCAGCTTTCTCGGGCCGCACGCCGGGCGCGGGGGCCGTGTGCGGCGCGGAGGGAGCGGTGCCCGGCCTGTCCGGGCGCGGG